TGTACAAGTTTTTCAAGCTAGTATCTTCTGCCATCGTAGAAGGGCCACCCTTCACTTCAGAAGATTACTGCTGCACAGCCAATTCTCTTCCTTCCTCTCTTATTGCTCTCCTTCAGCTTATCTCCAAATGTCTAGGATCACATTAGGCCTCAAGCATGTGTTAATAAATACTACATCACGAGATCTGCATTATTACAATCTGAGTCTTGTCAGTAGCTATCTGGGAGTCATTTGACCTGTTCCACTGAGTCTATATAAAATATAACCATGTGCGTTTATTCCTTCAATTACCTGGGTCCCCCCTTTCTCACTGATGAGGATGTCCCATGTTTCCTTTTCAAGCTGTCTCCATTCTAATAGTCTTACTCTTGGAGCTTTGCTTACTTTACAGCAAACCATGGTGTGAACTGAGCCAAGGGATTGATCATTGCTATTGTTTGGACTTCAAAGTACCTACCTCGCAGAGGGGAAATGAGCAGATCTACTTAAAGGGCTTAGCATACAAGGGACACGTGGCACTAAGTCAGCAGTCAGAGATTTTACTACTATGTTCTCTTTTGGAGCCTGGATCAGAAGATCCCTACGAGCATTCTGGCTTTTGCAAATGGTGAGCAGTGTCTAGACAGGGGCCTTGGTGTCCCCTGCAGGCTGCTTGACAGTGCAACACCAGAATGGCCCAGCCCTTGAGGCTGCCAGGTGCCTCTGGCTATCATACTTACCAATGTCCCAAGGCTGGTCCACCCCTTTTATGTGGAGGGGGCTCAGCATAAAATTCCTTGTAAATCAAATTATTTGCTCTGGATTAGACCAGGAATTTTGTTGTTGTTTAAAAGTTGTAATGTGAGGATAGTTGTACTGAGGCAATACTGCCTGAGGTCACAGTGCCGGTTTTAAGCAAGGTCTTGTTGAATGAAATGCTTGACTTTCGTCTCAGAGTATTCAGCCTTGCTTTGAGAGGCAGTGTTCTGGAACAAGACTGTGCCTCATTTATTTTTATGATCTCCCACTCCCAGTCCAGTGCTTTGTATTGACAAGAAATACCTTCTCCCAGTCAGTGCCATGCAGCAGCTCAGTGTGTGCACTCATGCACACGCAAGCACACCTGCACACTTAACAAATCCCTTTGCCTTCCATTTCTTCTGTCCTCCCTTTCCCCCTACAATCATTAAGAACAAAATGCACAATTCATATAAACCTTTCCTTCACACCTTTGAGTAACTACCACTTCCTTGCAAAGCTTTCTATTTCCACTTGAATTACCAGACTTCACATCCTCTAGAATGTACCTGTGTTGGAAAATGACAACACTTTATCTTTTCACTAAGCCCTGGGACTAGCACATAAAAGACCTCCAAATAGGACCTAGCACGATAGTGTAGTGGTTTAAGTCCTCACCTTGAACACACCAGGATCGCATATGGGCGCCAGTTCTTATCGCGGTGGCCCCACTTCCCATCCAGCTCCCTGCTTGTGGCCCGGGAAAGCAGTCGAGGATGGCCCAAAGCCTTGGGATCCGGCTCCCACGTGGGAGACCCGAAAGAGGCTCCTGGCTTCGGATTGGTGCTGCACCAGCTCTTGTGGTCACTTGGGGAGTGAATCATCAGACAGAAGATATTTCTGTTTCTCCTCCTCTCTGTATATCTGCTTTTCTAATAAAAATAAGTAAATCTTTAAAAAGTAAAAGACCTCCAAATAGTAATTTGTTTCAGATCATAAGAAAAAGATTCACTTTTGGGATTGGCACAGTGGAGTAGCACACTAATCCTGCTTCTTCAAGGGCTGGGTTCCCATATGGGTGCTAGTTTGTGTCCCGGCTGCTCCACTTCCCATCCAGTTCCCTGCTTACATTCTGGGAAAGCGGTCGAGGAAGGGCCAAATCCTTGGGCCTCTGCACCCACATGAGAGATGAGCAAAAAGCTCCTGGCTCCTGATCAGCTCAGCTGTGGCCATGGTGGTCATTTGTGGAGTGAACTAGTAGATGGAAGAACTGTCTGTCCTTTTCTCTGCAAGCCTGCCTTTCAAATAAAAATAGGCGAATCTTCACTTGATCTTAGCCAAAGGGCCGAGAAGCGATAAATAAATGAATCTTTAAAACAACTCGCCATCCATCTACATGAAACGGTCATGAATAATTAATGTAAGTTCATCCTATTTCACAACCAATTTGCCCCATTTAGGTTGCATACTTAAAGCTCATTCATTCATATATATCATCATCATCTTGTATTCTGTATTACATCCAATATATTACATATAGCATCTGTATACAAAACTGTGTAATATTTATAATACTACCACCTCAAACTACAACTTATTGGGTACCAGGTCCATTACACACATTCACTTTTTAACATTTTTATCTTATTCTTTACCCATTACACATATCTGATTTTCATGACAACTCTGCCAGCATTTTACAGATGGAGCTGAGATTCAAGTGAGTTAAAGAATTTGCCTGTAGGAGCACAAGAAGTCAATCACATTTCTCGCCCTAACGGTAGCTCCTGCTGAAGTGGCAATGATAAGCAATGCATGATTTCCGCTGCCAAAGCTGGGCACCTGACTCAATTCCAGGCCATCCTGGTTGTGGCCCAATTTAAAAAGATGGGCCCGGCCATCTTTTTGATTTCCAGACTGTCTCTTGGGAATTTGAGCTGGGAACCACAAAAACAGTAATCTGATAGAAGCAGGAGCTAGAACTAAAAGGTGTGATCAAAAGTTGTTAAATGGGGCCCGGCGCGGTGGCGCAGTGGTTAAGGCCTTGCACGCCCAGGATCCCATATGGGTGCCGGTTCTATCCTGGCAGCCCCGCTTCCCTTCCAGCTCCCTGCCTGTGGCTCGGGAAAGCAGTCGAGGACGGCCCAAAGCTTTGGGACCGTGCACCCGCGTGGGAGACCTGGAAGAGGCTCCTGGCTTCGGATTGGCATAGTATCGGCCGTTGCACTCACTTGGGGAGTGAATCATTGGATGGAAGAGCTTCCTCTCTGTTTCTCCTCTCTGTATATCCGCCTTTCCAATAAAAAAATAATAAAAATAGATCTTTTAAAAAAAGTTGTTAAATGAGTGTTGTGCAGGGAAACCAAGAAGGCTAGAGGGGGTTGGGGGAGGGGGTACTCAAGCTGAAGTTACAGAAGGAGGGGAAGGCAGAGATTTAAATAGTGTGGAAGGATGTAGATTACATGGGAGGGGGGACACGAAAAGTCCTGAGTAGCTGGTGCAGAGCAGTGTGGCTTCTGCAGCCTCCCTCTGTCCCTTTCCTCCATCCCTGCAGCTTCTGTGCCAGGGTAGCCTTAAAATAGATCCTTTATCCTCTGAGCTAGCTTTAATGTTAGTTCCTTTCAACCAAAAGAGCCAAATTGGAATCCACAGCCAGCAAGTGTTGGAAAGGGAATTTCAAGCCCAGTTTTGTGCTACAGAGTTTCTGCCCTTCTCTCTGTGTCTGTCACATTAGGAATGCTGTTCTGGTCCACCATAGCCCACAAGGTCACCTTAATGTGCTGAAAAAGAACCAATCATGGATTCAAGTTTCCTTCATCCTTTTCCTGAGTTTGCGTTCAGAGTCCTGAAGCATAGTGTGTTAGGTTTTTGTTCTTGTTTTTGTTTGTTTGTTTGTTTGTTTAAGTCCCAGGCAACAAGGGGGTCTCCACATAGCACTGCGACATGACTTCAGCTGCCAGGGTGGAAGCATCTATAGAAGGGAGAGGGGCTGGGGCAGAGTCAGTATAGAAAAGGAGGCCTTTTAAAGAGCGGGGACTGATTGTGTTTTCACTTCTGTCCCCAGATTCTAAGATAGCCTCTGATGTATGTATTTGAATGAATGAATGAATGAATGAATGAATGACAGAAGTGGGTCACAGCCCCTGTTCAAATGCATGAATCATTTCTCAGTCAAGTGCTCACAAGTTAAGGAACACCTGTCTCCATCTCTCAGCAACAATTCATGCAGCACCATGAGTAATGTTTATGGTGCCAACTTTAGCTTTCAAAATACCGATGATGATGGAATGGTGACTGGCAATGACACAGTTCAAAGACTCCAAATAGCCAACTCTGGATTGCATTTGTCCTGTTTATAAAAAAAACGCCACTCACTTTGTCTTGCTCTGTCGGAGAGAGTGAGGTTTTTCATTTTAAGAAGCTGACTGAAAAATGCAGGGCTACTTCCTGGGCAGGCTTCCAAGTGACTGCATCTTTCTCGCACCATTCCCCAGAGCCCCAGGCCAAGCAGCCTGGGGCGGGGCCTGCAGCCCTCAGTGGCTGCTCAAGCTGCCACCTGAGCCGGGTTATCTGCAGCGCGCCAGAACTGCTGTGCCTGTAGGCCCTCCCAGGGCAGAGATAACAGCCCTGGCCTTTGAGCTGAAGAGATGTCGGAGTTTGTGATTGGCCAGGCTGCTGTGTGTGGGATCCATGCGATGTGGTGCTGCCCCTCTGACTGTGCCGTTGCTGCCAGCCGACTATCCCGGGTGTGGGTGAGTCTAAATGCTTCTTGAGACTGCCCTGCTGGTTGTGAAATGTTCAAAGCAGGGCCATGGTGACTTTCTGCAGCCATGACTTGGCATATTTCTGAATCCTACTGAACCTTAGTTTCCTTTGCTGTGAGCCAGGGACAGAATTATCCTATCTGTTCTTCCTTCCTTTCTTTTCTTTTTTTCCCTTTTCTTTCTTTCTTTTCTTCCTCTCTCTCTCTCTCTCTCTCTCCGTCCCTCTCTCCCTATGTAGCCATCACAGGGGGCTACGGGACCTCAGAGGGACAGTATATCCTGGATGTCTCATCTGGAACCTTGCATGTGGTAGACACTGCCAAGCTCTTACTATTGCTGAAGCATTAGCTGAAGGAAGAGATTGCAGTGGCCAGTCCTTGTCTTCGCCAATCCACTAGTCCTGTGGATCGCTCAGCAGAGATATTCTACTTCTTGATCAGACCTGTGTATCTCAGAGGGAAGCCAGTGCTAAGGGCAAGTTTGTCAGACTACATTTCCCGTTTCTTTTTTTCCTTCTAGACCCTGACTGCACCTGCGCCATTTGCAGATGAAACCAGCTGCCAGTGCCAAGCACCCCATGAAAAACTGACCATTGCTCAGGCTCGCTTGGGGACACCAGGTGAGGCTGTACTTCTTGTTCCTCAAGTGGGCACTGTCTTGGCATTTAAAGTATCAGAAAAGCCCACCATTACGTAGCAGTACTTGGTATTGCAGGGGTGAATTAGAACTTAGAGCATGGCACAAGGCAGGTCAGTAACTAAACTCGCCAGGCCACGGCAGAAAGGTGAGAGATGCAGCGGAGGCGGGAGGAGGAGCCGCAGCTCTGCCACCACCAGGTCTACGGCAGTCAGCAGATCACTAAAGTGCTGAATCTGTCCCCTCATGTGGTCCCTGTTCCACAAAGTTTGGGTAAGCACTAGACTCAGTGAAAGTTCTTCAGCATTTGGAAACCATGAAGACTTACATGACCTAAGCTACTAGAATCATTACCATCCTTAAAAGCACACACCTTATAAAAGTTTCAAGCATGTTATCTAAAAAGTGTATCTTTATTTTTTAAAGTTTTAGTCAAAATATAAGGAGACAGAGCTAGAGAGAAAAACATCTTCCATGTGTTATAGTTTGTTCCCCAAATAGCTGAGACAGTCAGAGGTTGGCCGGGCCAAAGGGAGAATCACAAGACTGTATTGTGGTTCCATCACATGGCTGGGAGGGATCATTATCTGGTGTTTCCCCAGAGTCACAGTAGCGGGAAGCTGGAACCAAAGTTGAGGAGCTGGGGCTCCAAGCAAGCTCTCCATGTGCAACGCAAGTATCCCAAGCAGTGACTTAATCTCTGTGCCAAATGCCTGCCTTAAAGGCGGGACTCTATTGTGTTCATTCACTCATCTCTTTAGCATATACCAGAGGATAGAATAGGAAGGAGATTTAAAAAGAACTTGAAAGTACCATCTCTATTTGACAAGAGCTTTCATGATATTTGGAGACACAAAACATGGGCCAGCGTTGTGGACTAGCATGTAAAGCTGCCGCCTGTGAAACTGGCATCCCATACCAGTTTGAGACGCATTTGCTCTACTTCCAATCCAGTTCCTTGCTAATGTGCCTAGGAAAGAAGTGCAGGATAGTTCAAGTGTTTGGGCTCCTGCACTCACATGGGAGACCTGAAAAAAGCCACATACTCCTGGCTTCATACTAGCTCAGCCCCAGTCACTGCATCATTTGGAGCATGGCCCAGCAGTTGGAATATCTCCTTTTTTCATGTTCTCTCTGTAACTTTGGCTTTCTAACTAACTAATTAATTACATAATATTTTTTAAAGATGAGAGATAAGACAGCTTGATGTGAAATTAAATTGATAAGTAGCATGCGTGCATGCATGTGCTTAGGGGTTAAGTCCTGCAACAGGTTGGAGAAGGGTGATGTGTCTGGCCTGGGCTGGCCAGGCCAGAAGTCAAGGAGTCAACAGAAGAGAGCTGAGGCTTTCGGAGGAAGTACTACTTGGAATGTGAGGACAGAAAAATGGATAGGTATTCTGGGCTGCAGGAATAGGAAGAATTGGGCCACAGACACAGAGAGCTGTGTAGGAGGAAACGAGAGCAATTCCAGGTGAATGGGATGGGATGAAAAAGAGACTGGGCAAGCAGCTAAGTTTTGGGCCATGTAACATGGCAATAATTCAATGATTTCCAGTTGCAATTGGGGAAAAACAACAAACAGACCAACAAAACCCAGCCCAAACTTAAATGAATCTATGGGATAATGGAAAGAATAATGACTATGTATCAGTTGCATACTTTCATTTGAATGGCAGAGTTTCAGAGAGTAGGAGAGACCGAAGGAGGTCTTCCATCTTCTGGATCATGTCCCAAATGGCCACAGTGGCCAGGGTTGTGCCAAGCCAAAACCAGGAGCCTGGAGCTTCTTTGAGGTCTCCCACATGGGTGCAGGAACCCAAGGACATGGGATATCTGCTGCTGCCCTCTCAGCCCATTATCAGGGCTGGAGGGAGGCAGGGTTAGATCAGAAATGAAACAGCCAGGTGCCTGGTGTGGTAGCCTAAGGCTTAAGGTCCTCACCTGGCACACACCAGGATTGCATATGGGCTCCAGTTCTAATCCCAGCAGCCCTGCTTCCCATCCAGCTCCCTGCTTGTAGCCTGGGAAAGCAGTCAAGGATGGCCCAGAGCCTTGGGACCCTGCACCTGCGTGGGAGATACGGAAGAAGCTCCTGGATCCTGGCTTCGGATCACCTCAGCACCAGCCATTGTGGCCGCTTGGGGAGTAAACCATCAGACAGAAGATCTTTGTCTCTGTCTCTCCTCCTCTCTATATATCTGCCTTTCCAATACGAATAAATAAATATTTTTAAAAATAAATGAAACAGCCAGGACAGAAGCTGGCAGCCATATGGGATGCCAGCATCAGAGGCAGTAGCTTAACTAGCTATGCCACAACGCTGGCCCCAAAGTCTTAATTTAAAATTTGTTTATTTTGAGTCTGGCATAGTAGCTTAGCAGCTAAAGTCCTTGCCTTGTACACTCTGGGATCCCACATGGGCGCCAGTTCTAATCCCGGCAGCCCCGCTTCCCATCCAGCTCCCTGCTTGTGGCCTGGGAAAGCGGTCAAAAATGGCCCAAAGCTTTGGGACCCTGCACCCGTGTGGGAGACCTGGAAGAGGCTCCTGGCTCCTGACTCCTGGCTTCGAATTGATGCAGCTCTGGCCATTGCGGCCACTTGGGGAGTGAATTACAAATAGAAGATCTTCCTCTCGGTCTCTCGTCCTCTCCGTACATTGAACTTTGCAATAAAAAGAAAATAAATCTTAAAAAAAAAGAGATTTATTTTAAAGGCAAAGTGACAGAGACATGATATACTTTCCATCTACTAGTCTAATTCCCATGTGCTTGCGCAGCCTGGGCTGGGCAAAGTTAAAGACATGAACCAGCAGGTCCATCTGGGTCTACCACACAGGTTGCAGGAATGCACAGGCCTGAGTCGTAGCCTTCTGCTGCCCAGGCATGTTAGCAGGGATTGGAAGCAAGGCAGCCAAGACTTGGCTTGGCACTCTGAAATGGGATGGGGTCATCTGAAGCAGTGCCATAACCCACTGCACACCAGTGTGTGCCCCCACGTAACGTCTTCATATGTATCACGTCCCTTCACTGTTAGAGCTCTGGTTAATGCTTTTAGTGTCACACAGATGAGGCCACGGAAGCTTAGACAGGTTGTGAATCTACACAAAGCCGTTCAGATAGCGAACACTAACAATTCTCACGCTTGAGGCTGCATCAGAACCACTCAGAGGACTGGCTAAACCTGGATGGCAGGGCTCCACCCACAGACATTCTGATTTGGTCCAGTTAGGGTGAGGCTTAAGCATATTTTTTTTTCTTTATTTTTATTAGAAAGGCAGATTTATAGAGAGAAGCAGAGACAGAAGGATCCTCCATCTACTGGTTTACTCCCCAAATGAGTGCAACAGCCAGAGCTGCGCCGATCTGAAAACAGGAGCCAGAAACTTCTTCCAGGTCTCCCACATGGAGGATGGCTCAAATCCTTGGGCTCCTGTACCCAGAACTCCTGGCTGTGGACTTTAAGATCTGCTCAGTTCTGACTGCTGGGGTCATTTTGGAAGTGAAGTAGCAGATGGAAGATCTCTCTAATTCTGCATTTCAAATAAAAATGTAAATAAAACTTTACAAAAGACATATTACAATGTAAAAAAAAAAAACAGAAGAGTCATGCTTCCTTTTTTTTTTTTTGGTAACAAAATTTCCATAAAATTTGAGATGACCCTCCACAGTTAGAACTGAAGTTTCTCACCGTCTCCCACACTGGCAATATTCTATGACTTAATACAACAAGTTGAGGTCTTCACACACCCAGGGCTGGGGCAAAGATTTGGAAAGAGATCCTGACAAACTCTGCTCATCACTGCCTAGCCTTGTTTCTGAAAAAGAGAAGGAACTGAATAGAGCAAAACAGCAACTAGCATCGGCACCATGGGTCTAAGCTGCCATGCCGGGGAAGGTGACCCATCATGATGTTAGCACTGCATCCTGACCACTGCGTGGACATCAAGGGAAAGCCAAGCCGTTGCTTCATAGATTACCTTGAACTAAAGCTGACCTTTTTCTTAAAGGGGAAGCTCCGCTCTCATTTTCCAACTTTCCCTCTCCAGAAAGGGAACTTATATTACGCTCTTCCACAGTGTGTAGAATTTCCCAGACTTGGATTTCAAGAGTTACCCTAATGAATTTCGCCTTATATTTGTGCAACCTGTGCTGTAATTTACTTAATATTTTTCTTTAAATATATTTCTTGAATGTAATATATTCAAAAACCATAATCACTATAATTTACAGAAAATAGTTATCACTGGCTATAAGTAGAGGGTAACTATAAAGTTTATATGAAACCATGTACATTTTATAAAATAAATATGTAGCTAATAGATTTTAAAAGGTTAACTTCTGTGCCACTCTTTTTTGCATACCAGTTGTACACAAACAGCACTAATTACCATAATTACTGGGCATTTACTATTAGTGTCTTAAAAAAAAAAGAATCATATCAGCAAGTGGTATTTTCAAGGCTCCACAAGGTAGAAGGAAGTGTAGCTGGTGTAATTTGGTTTGCACTGAGACTCCATCACGATTTCTGCATGCCACTGAACACGCCACAGAACCTCACTCATCATTGCTTTGCCTGTCTTCAAAACCACAAGGACTGGCCAAGTGATGGCTCGATTGGCTAATGCTCTGCCTGCAAGGGCAGCATCCCATATGGGCGCCTGTTCTAATCCCAGCAGCTCCACTTCCCATCCAGCTCCCTGCTTGTGGCCTGGGAAAGCAGTCGAGGATGGCCCAAGTCCTTGGGATCCTGCACCTGTGTGGGATACTCAGAAGAGACTTCTGGCTCCTGGCTTCAGATGGGCTCAGCTTTGGGAACTGTGGCCACCTGGGGAGTAAACCAGAGGATGGAAGATCTTTCTGGCTCTCCTCCTCTCTGTAAATCTGCCTTTCAAATAAATAAATAAATCATAAAAAAAGAAAACTATGCGAACACAGTTTTGACTGTGGTTTGGTGTGTCCTCCTAAGCTTCGGGTGCTGAAGT